TGTGCTTGGAGAGTCTTGGAGTCTTGGAGTACCTATCGGAAGGTAGGTATTGTCGGTGCATGCTCTGCTCCTACCGGGACTTCTCTCTGGGTCGATACATCACACGTTGTGCGCTGCCTCGTGGATGGATACCTACTGTGTCCTGGATGGACATTGATGACCTGGAATAGATGCTGTTAATTGCGAGCGGCACTTGTATCCCCACGACGGTTTCATTGTGTAAATCTACTTGGCGCAAGAAGCGAAACTGTGGGTTCCAATGGGAAAGAGATAAGATGCGAATTGCGTGCTGAGGTAAGCGGGGCGACGTTAATTTGCGATTCTGCGCAGTTGTAACTTGCACAGTTGCACCTTCCATTCCGTCAGTGACCTCACGACGAAGAAAATAGAAAGATGACATAATGGCCCCTGATACGTACTTTTCTACATCGAACTGGAAGTGTTCCCGCTGCCATCCTGAGGTCACACCTTCTCCACCGCATCCCGTCCGTTCCCCTTTTCCATTCCCACGGCGCAGCCACAATCCTCCTCCACTTCAGTGTTCTCTGCTGCAATTGCTGTCATGAGCCCCAGTGTCTTGGTTCGACGATGCTGCTTGTGCTGGAGCTGGTGCCATGCTTGGCTCGACCATAGGGTACCTACGACCTAATACTGAGCTTTGCTTCTTGGTCCTCATTTCCAGCCCTGCATCTCTCCTCAGCCAGTCGCATCCAATGTCTTTCGAGTGTGAAGGCTGCTTCCCGCTCGGGCTTTCTCTGGTTTGCCTGCAGCACCACGCGGCTTGGCTCTGTCGCCGTCCCCTATTTGCTGTCATCAACGATCACCCTCTCCACCGAGCTTCCACCGTTCCGCTCCTCCTCCCTCCCCCAAAAAAGCCAAGGGAGGGAACCAAACCCAAAATAAGAAGGAAAAAAGGCTGGGCATCGCCAGACTTCGGATTCATCGGCTTCTCTTTCTTGTCAGCACACTGCAGCAAAGCGGATTGCGCCCAGCTGATCAGCCAACTCAATTATCCGAACACAGTATGTGCAGGGCAGCTTCCATCGCGCCCCCTCCCCCCTTCCGTGCGGCGGCTGCAGGGCCACAGACGAGATAGGCACAGAATGAGAGAAACATGAGACAGGCATCGCCATGCTGCCACGCGCACGTCTTTCTATTGGAGCCCTGCCTAACACTTGTCCCTTACCTAAACCTAGAGTGAGACCTGCCAAATAACCCTCCCGTGCCATGACAGACCACACGGTAGGGTACTTACTGATGATAATCAATGGGCCGAAACCTGTGAGCAGCCGCAGACAGAAAACGAATTATCCAGATAGATTAGGTACTGCTCTTCAGACTTCTCCGACAGCCCCTACATCATTACGGAGTACGGATACTTGACCTTCGGCTTGCTCGCATCTCATCAAGCTAGATTATCCTCCTTGGATGCTGGACCCTGCCTAGAGCCGCATTTAAATGAGATCGGCCAGTGATAATGACTCTCTTACCCACGCGCTAGAAACGTATACCTGAGTATTCGTACCAAGCACACACAGAACTGGAGTCGCTTTTCCCCCACTTTTCCGTCTGCTTTTTTTGTTTTTGGCTTTTTTCTTGATATGAAGAAGGGACGACAGCTGGAGTCTTGGAGAGTCAGTCTCCAAAGTCTATTCAGAAAGCTCGTGCATACGCAAGCCTTGTAGCTAGTTCTACGGGAATACCCAAGTGCGTAGGGTCTGAGGCTTTTTAGATCAAGAATTGATAGCAACGCGACAAAGATGCAATTGCCAATCATGCACCAGCAGCGGCCGCTCAACTGGAATCAACCATCTGTGGAATTTCTCCAAGTGATCCAAATAGACCAGACTTTGAGACATCAACAGGACCCGCCGCCTAAACGCAATTAAACGTGTTCTAGAGCTCGATGGACTGATCCAGCTCTTGCCTGTGATCCTCCCAGACCTCCCACCTCAGCTACCTAACTGGAGCTCGCTCGCTAGCTAAGGTAGGTGTGCTCCAAGAAAATGCTTCCATTCCACTTTATCCAGGTTTCTTCATGATTGATCCGCCGACCCCGGCCGGACACAATCCCACCCCTTCTTGATGATGTTCTTCCAAGTTCCTTATTCTAGTATGTACCACCCCCCGGTCTGACAGAGATAATTGCTGCCCTCCCTCCAATTGAACCGCATCCCCGGTCTCTCATCCCGCAATTACACTGTATCTGGCTCCTCTCCTTTATTAACTGGCCCCGTTTCGCTAGGTACTTGCCATAGAATTCTTGTGCCCCCCCCCCCACTTCTCCCCCTTCCCTTGCCGTCCGGCCGCACCAGGATGAATCAGGGCCCCAGGCTTACGCGGCTGCCAAGGGGGGGGGTTATGGGGGCGCTCTTTTCTTCCCAAGACTTTCTCCAAGACAAAGCTCAACTTCGGACGCAAAATCCCACCCGCCACCGCACTGTACAAAATACATCCCACCGCATCTTTGGTCCGTCGGGCTTGTTCATCCCGCCCACCAGTCACAGAGCTGTATCCGTACGGTCTATCACAGGTTGAGTGACTTTCACTCTTTCCCAGACCCGCGAGACCCTCCAACCACCCCGGCCAGTCTCCAGACTAGAAATGAGGATAGATGACGATGATGACCTGGCAGCCACTGATCGATAATGGAGACTATACCCCGAAGCCCTGTCGCCCCCATCTAAACCAGCACCACCTCATCCAGAATGAGTGAGAGCGCACTCATCCCAATGTGTAGGTAATCAACCCGTGAAAGCAGAGGATCCCGAATGGGAAACACGGGACATCCGCTCTACTTTATGTAGAGCAGCCGCCAGCACGCTCGCTGTAAAACGAAGCGGCGTCACGGTGAGCCGGCCGTCGGTAGGACTGGACTGCACTGGAGTCTGGTGAGAGAGCCCGGCTACTAGCTGCCGTTTAGCTCAAACGGGCGGGCAGATTCCCTCACAATGTACATCACACACACACGCGCCGGCGGCGGCGGCCCAGCACCACCAGCGACTGCGTTAGCACCAAAGCGACAGCGACAGAGCGATCGACTACGAGAGGCCGTTCGAGAACGATGGGGTCGCATCGAGACTAGAGCAAGCCGAACCGGCCAGATTTTGCCGATGTAATTATCCCCAAACGCGCAAGCCTGAGTTTGATAGGCGGGTTGACATTCAGACTTTTGAGTTTTGTTGTATGAAGTGTGAGAAAAGCCGTTGCGTACGCGAGCGTGTCCACGACGCCCTCTGTCCACTATTGAGTATCGCCTCGTGACAGAAGATGCCGTATCGCCCGTGGCCGTGGCTGAGTCCTGCGTTCGCTCCCTTACTGTGGTAGACACGTCGTAAGCTCTCTCATATGAGGGCGGGGGCGATAAAGCGATAAAGCCAAAGTGTATGAGATGAGAAGCCGTGATGCCGGGTTTCGTTTCCATTCAATAGACTCGGGAGAAACCCAGACAGATCTGAGAGGACCCCTTACTGCATACCTGCACTGCTACTCTACGTACGGATAGTGGCGGAGGATCAAGTCTTGTTTCTGGGTTATTTTTTTTTTCTCTTCTGTCTCTACGTGGTGTGCTCCTGATCCCCGAGCCTCGAAGTACCCTTACTGTTTGAGGAAGCTCCCTTGGGTTAGCCAGACTAGCCCAGGTACGTGTGTAATTTATCGTGTGCCGGGGCCGGGAGATGGTTGTAAGTCACCCAACTCACTCACCCAGTCCACTTACTCATTCGCTCAATCATTCACTCATTCATGTCATTCTCATTCACTCACCATTGGAGGATGCGTCTAACGTCTGTTGTTGGTGAGTATTTCGAGTGAGAGTCTGGTAGTCCGGTATCCGTACTTCCTAACTTCTACTTCGTACACCGCAACGGCAAATGGACAAGAAGGGGACTCGAGAAAAGGAGGACTGGGCAATGAGCAATGCCGCCAGCCGAAACGTCATTGATGCCAAGCGCGGAAGCGAGAAAGATGCCCGTTTGAGTATCTCGGCATCCTCTGCTTCCTCTTCTTGTCCTTCCACCCCGGTGGGTCAAGTCTCCTCTGCCATGATCCATCCCTCCCTCCCCTCTCCACCCTGCGCCTGTCCTCAATCCCGTGTGTTCACTCTCTCTGAGATACTCAGTCTCCGTACCGTGCTTCCCACTCCTATTCCCACCCTCTCTGCCGTCCTTCACCTGGGCTATCTGTCTTGCCGTGTGCCCGCCTCACCACCACGTCCACCGTCCAGTCCACCACTCACTTCACTCCCCCATTCCTTTTCTCTCCACACGTCCTTTCAACCCTTCCGGTTCCTGTTGTTCCCTTTCTAAAAACTTACCTTAATCCTGCCCTACCCCCCTGTTCCCAGACCCTTTATGAATACATTGCTGCATCGGATTTAGCTGACGCCTGGCAAAGCCCGCGATCCGAAGTCTTGGGTTCATTTACAGCCTGTTCCACTGAGCAAACGCCCTTGCCTTGTGCCTTGTACCTCCCGTCTCTACTATCCGCCCCCCCAATTACCACACCTCACACCTCACCTACCTCCCTCCATCTATCCAGGTCCCTATTTTCTTTTATTCCTTCTTCCTTCATTCATATCGTGAACCACACACTCCTTCGATCGCTCTGCTTCTCGTTTGGACCTTTTCCCTCTTCTATTTACACTTTATCCGCATCGTCCGCAGCCGTTCCTCCATTCGTCGCTTTTTAGTCCGATATTTTTTAAGCTCGACTACCTGACGCACGCCCGTTTGCCGCCCAAATCCCCCCCGCCCGCTCGGGACCGATCTACGTCGTGAAACCAGGACAGTCGTCAGCTTCTCGACTTAAACCCCCCTAAGCGACAGGGAACCTGTGGACGAACACACGGTCTCTAAACAAATAAACGAAAGAGGATTCCAACACCTTCCGACGAAAACGGAAAACCCAAAAGGCTCAACCTCTTTTCAACAACGACCCAAACGCCAAAAACCCACCGCTTTCCACCCCTACCGTCCCGACGACGAAGCCTTTTGGAAGCAATGGCGGAATCCAGCAACCTCAAGAACGAGGCTCGACGGAGCGAGGAGGGCCACGGCCTCCTCAACGGCGATGAGAAGCGAATCGAAGAGAGCTATGATCTCGAGGCCAACAGCACCGCCGCCACCGAACAACAGGCCAACGCCGATAGAGTCCGCAACCCCGTCGAGTACACCATCTCACCTCAGGTCAAGTTTGGCTGGTTGAGCGCCTATTTCATGTTCAGCTTGGTTTTGACCCTCTACAACAAGCTGATCCTCGGAGCGGTATGTGAAGAGCGCTTCTATTTATCTATGCATCTGTGAGCTCCGAATCTTCGTCAGAAATGTCGAGAAAATGAGTGAGCAGCGATGAAATGATGAAAAAAAGGCACCCTTTCCCAATGAGCTTCCTCTAACATTCACTCTAGTTCCCCTTCCCGTGGCTTCTCACCTCACTTCACGCCACGTGCGCGAGTTTGGGTTGCTATTGCTTGCTGCAATGCGGCTACTTCACCATGTCCCACCTGGGACGCCGCGAAAACCTCATTCTCCTCGCCTTCAGCTTGCTCTTCACCACCAACATCGCCGTGTCTAACCTGTCACTGTAAGTAATCAAAAAGCCTTCCTCTTTGGGCCTGTTCTGTGCTGCGCCGCATGATGGCGCACATTCCGCCCACACCTCCGCCGCGGCCGGAAGGGGCGGAACTCGAACAAACTCGACGAGCAATGATGCTAACTCACCACGCAGTGCCATGGTCTCCGTGCCATTCTACCAGGTCCTCCGAACTACCGTCCCCGTGTTCACGGTTCTCATCTACCGCGTTGTCTTTGGTCGCACTTATGAGAACATGACCTACCTGACGCTGGTTCCCATCATGATTGGTGCTGCTCTGACAACGATTGGCGAGTACACTTTCACCGACCTGGGTTTCTTGCTCACCTTTGCGGGCGTGGTGCTTGCTGCGGTCAAGGTACGTTATTTTGGGTTTGCCCATCTCCCGTCCATCATCCGAAATACAACGCTTTGTCGAGTTTGCGGAGAGTGGTCCCGGCGACTCCAATTGGGTCCGCCATCTCCGCCCTCTGCGCCCTCTGAAACTCGGCCAGCAAACCTTCGTCCCATTTACAGTGCTACTATCAATGCATTTACAGTTGGCTAACGAACATGTTAACAGACCGTTGCTACCAACCGCATTATGACTGGCCCCCTGGCCCTCCCCGCTATGGAGGTCCTGCTGCGCATGTCGCCCTTTGCGGCTATGCAGTCTTTGGCCTGCGCCATCGCCGCCGGCGAGCTCGGAAACCTCAACACCATGCGTGTGGAGGGTAACATCAGCCTCGCCACCCTTATCGCTCTTCTCGGCAACGGCATCCTCGCATTCGCCCTCAACGTTGCTTCGTTCCAGACGAACAAGGTTGCTGGTGCCCTGACGATGAGCATCTGCGGTAACCTGAAGCAGTGCTTGACGGTTGGCCTCGGCATCATCGCCTTTGGCGTCGAAGTCCACCTCTTCAACGGCTCCGGCATGATCCTCACCATGATTGGTGCTGCGTGGTACAGCAAGGTCGAGCTCGACCGCAGAGCCCGCAAATAAACTGGCTCACATGGATTGGCGAGCTGCGCAGATCACACTGCGCGTGTAACGAATATCAGTAACGGCCGAATATCATATAGAACCGGGCGCAGGCAGAGCCGAGTCAGCCTGTGAGAGGGTGTTGGGATGTATCGGGAAGGCGTGTGGTCAAGTCAACCACTGGAGCCGCGGTCGACGCCGTCCAACAACCACGGAGCTACAAGACAGGACAGGACGATCTGCCGCACATCGCGGCGTTGGGAAACCCGGATGGATTAGGGCGGCGCCGGCGGAAGCCGATCAAAGCTGGCGTCACAAAAGCCGGTAGCACTTCCGCCCTCTTCCCTCCTTTCCGCTGAGGAGTTTCCCTTACCGACGCACCGCACTCTGGACAAGATGATGCCGCGTGTAAGATGGAGGAGCCGAGTGCACCGACGAAACAAGAGCATGCATGCCGCGGCCATAGGGTTCGCGCATCGATTTATACCCTTCGCATGGAGTAAAAGGACACGGGCATAAACACGGGATGTTTTCATCAAAAAAGGGCTAGGGAAAAGACTTCATTTGTCCTCTAGAAACCCTGGGCTCTTCTTTTTTCTTCTCTTTTCTCTTCACCCACTTCTAAATTTACCGTCAGGTAATAATACAAACTTACCATTCAAAGATGAATTTTGATTTTGCATTTGACGTGAGGCAGTCCCTAAGTCATGTGTGATTATTCCCGAGCTTAGATGATGGAGCCATGATGGCCTAGTCATCTGCAAGACACCACCCCACGCGGGCGCATCCCGTGGGCAGAGTGGGTGTGGTCGGAATTGTTCATCCCCCCCCCCCCCTCCACCCCTTCCTCTCCTCATACTCTGTTTCCCCGAAAAAGGGCCATCTGCTTGTTGCTGCAGAACAAATAACACATGCGCGCGCGCTGACCGAGAAACGCAGGCGGGAAAACCTGCTGATGGTGCCGTCATGTGAACTCAATTGGGGACCCCATTTCCCCCCACATGCACCACTCAGCTCACTTCACCCCGAGGATAGATGGAGATCTAATAAACACTCCTTTCGATCCGCTATCGATCATTTTCTATCCGCGCATTTCTCATGAAGGGGGGGGTGTTGTAATGTTTATTGTATAATGGCAGTTTGGAAACCACCGCCTTGAGATAACCAAAAACCGAAAGGAAAGAGAAAAGAAACCATGTCGATTGATACCCAACCCCGCAAAGATGACGACGACGGCGACGACAATCACGTCGCCGCGAATGCTGCGAGACAAGGAGGCGGGATTGCTTCGATGAACTTACCGTCGATTCTATACGATGCGGCAGAGACAAACCCAGTTCTGGGTTCTGTGGCCAAGGAACCGGATGGACAAGAAACCACCGACGGCAAAAACGCAGACACTAAAGACACTGAGACCAGAGACGACAACGACGACGACGACGACGGCAAAGTCGCAGCGTTCCTGGAGAGAAACCGACTCCACCCCTCCGCCATCACGGCAGCGCACGAGTTCGCGCAGGCAATGTTCCCCAGGTGCGAGGTGGGGAGGGCGCCGTTTCAGGGGTACTGCTCTTACACGCTTCTCCTGAGGCCGCTTGCCGGCGGTAGTCGTGTAAGCCAGGAAACTACAGCTACAGGAAGACGCCGGCGGGATAGCGGGGTCGAGGCCGGCGGAGGGGAAGGGGGAGGAAGTGAAGGGAGCGGAGAGATCCAGAGCCAGAGCGAGAGCGGTACGAGTTGGAAGAGCGGCGGCAGCGGCGGCAGCGGCGGCGGCGGTGGTGGAAGACTCGTTCAGTTCCGGCCTAGGAGGCACGGTATCGATTTTGAGATGTGTGGCGAGGCTAGGGGTGTGCTTGGGGATGGGGTCGTGCCGGGCGTGGGGGAGCTTGGTGTTTTGGAGGGGCTGGAGACGATGACTCCGGCGGCGGCGGCGGCGGCCCGTGGCGGGAAGGGGAAGAAGGACGGGGAGTTGTGCGCGTATCTTCTCGAGAGGGTCGGCGGTGTCTCGTTGACGGGGTTCCGGAGTCTATCCGCGGGTCTGGAGACGGAATCGAGGGCTTCGAGGCGGAGGCTCGTTGCTGATCTTGCTGTTGTCTTTGCGGATTCGTGGAGGGGCAGGCGGGAGGGTTTCGATGATGGACACGGACACGGGCACGGCCATGGGGATGCGGGCGGCAGAGGGCGCGTGGGAGGGAGTTTGGCGTGGCGGTTGGAGATTATGGAAAAGGGGTTGCCGTCGGAGTTTAGAGACGTTGTGAGGGAGGTCAGGAGGGATCTAGGGGATATCGAGGGCTTGCCTTGGGTTGTCACGCATGGGGACCTCGTGCCGGATAATATAATGGTTCATCCGCCGCGTGACGATGGCGAGGGCGAGGGAGAGGGTGGCGGCGAGGCGTGGGTGAGGCGGAAGCTGGGTTGGGGAAGGGAGGAGAGGGCCGGCGGGCTGGTTGGGTTGATTGACTGGGCCGAGGCGGAGTGGTTGCCGTTCGGGGTGGGGATGTACGGGCTCGAGGAGGTGTTGGGGGAGGATGTTGTCGTTGATGGGAGCTGTGATGTTGACTTTGTTGGTGGTGGTGGTGGTGGTGGTGGAAGTGCTGCTACTACGATTACGACTACGGCAACAACTACGACGATAAGGACGTCGTCGATGACGAGATTCGAGTACTACCCCGAAGCAGCCTCCCTCCGCGCACTCTTCTGGGACGAGGTCGGACGTGTGGTGGGTGATGAGGAGGTCATTCGCCGGGCGAAGAGGGCTCAGGTCCTCGGGGTACTGCTCTGGAGGGGCATTGCCTTTGATGATGGTGCGCTGGAGAGAGTCGTGGACGGGGAGAGGGACGGGTGGGACTTGCAACGCTTGCGGGTTTGGGCTTTTGAGGATGGGGGGCTCGGGTTGACTCGTGGGGAAACCGAGGTTGAGGTGGTTCGGGGGAGGAGGAAGGGCGAGAATAGAGGTAATAGACGGTTGTTGAAGAGAGTCATGGGATGGATCAGAGGGTGCTTTAGGGGGTTGTGAGATGGCTCATGTGGGTGTTTTGGCTGAATACTTTATAGAATGGGGTGGCTAGACTACGGAGTTCTGGGTGATCATTGAGGGCTTCCGAGAATCCGAGGCAGACTTAATCAATTCATTGCTTGCAATGAAGCATCGTGATGCCATGTTGGAAATGTGATTTCGACGTCAAGTGCTCGCAAACGCGTATAGAGATCCCCTCTGTTCACCCAACCCACTCGGTCGTCTCTATAGACGACGTTGCCTTGAGTCATTTTCTCATAAGTTCAAAGATCATTTGCTACTCCACTTTAGCTTACTCTCGTGTTTATACCTTGGCTTCAAAAACTAGTCCAAACCGAGGGTGAATATGAGTATAGGACATCCCTTGGTCTATTTTTCAAATATGAATAGCAGATACGGATGAGCCTGGGGAGGCCGAGAAGGATCTCATGAGCTTTGGAACCTGGAGTGTTGATGAAAGTGTTCCAACTTCCCTCCTGTCAGCAGCATCTCTGGTGATAAAAAGTTAGCAGGCTATATTTGTAAACAAAAGTGGATAAGCAAGAAAGATCTCGGATGTAACATCTCAGAATCCACGAGTATTGGTATAGGGGTAAGGAAGGTGAGGTTTTTGTCCCAATTTAGTCGTGACGTTAGACGCAAATATGTAAATGATCTTCTCTTCATGACTCAGGCTGACCATCAATATCACTAGAGAACCAAATTGCGAACTCGGCAAGTAGCAGCAAGCGCCAAGCAGTTCAACTCATTTACACATTTTCCTACTCTTCTCGTCTGGAAATTTGGCATCTAGATGAGTGGTCAAATGGGGCCGAGGGTTTACAGATTGTGCTTGTACGCAGAGGCATCATTCGTGTTACCCAAAGTTATAGAAGGTCCGGAGACTCTCGTGAGAATGTTCCTCGCATAGGGGACTTTGACAGATTGAACAGAAATTGACTAGGGCCAAGTATCACAGAACTGGCCAAGGATTGTTGGGCCTCTGCTCCTTTCATTACTCCATCACTTGTCTGTGTAAGTGCGTTGCCTCTATCCCAATACAACTCAAATAGAAGCGGGGATGAATCGTGTTACTAGACAAAGCTAGCCATATCTCCCGTCTTATGCGATACCGGATGAACAAGAGGGCCGTGTTCCTGTGATCAACACATTTACCGAAAACCTATTACAACAACTGAGACGAGAGCTTTCATCACACTCGCCTACGTGACCTACGAAGTAAGTTTGATTATAATTACACCGTCAAATAGTCAGGCCATCGTCTTGTTATCTTAAATACTTCATTACATAGGTTTCCAGTCCCGATTCAACTAAACCAAGCCCATTAATACCGTACGACTGTTCAAACCCAAAGTCAATCCCCACCGCCCCTTTTCGAATATCACACATCCACCCCCGGACCATCCCATATTCAGCCAACTTTCTTCAAAGAAGCCCCTAGTCCGATTAGATATATATATACCGCAGTAGATCAAACTAGCTACATTCCTCGTCTATTCGGAAGAGCTCGCTAGAAGCACAACGACAGGTAAGAATACACGCATCAAATGGCGACGGCCACCACATCACGCTGATCACGATACAGTAGCCTCGTGAGCAGAGAGCAAAACCCTACAAGCTTCACACGGAGGATGGAAAGATTGGGTAAAGACACGGCTGAGACCACAAGAGTGCTCGGACTGGGGAAAGTTCATTCGCCGTCACGGTGAAGGTCGCGGGTCGGGCTGGCTAGATGTAGCCTGAGATGCGGGTAGGTAGGCCAACTATCATAGTGAATGGGACCAACACCAACGAGGAGAAGGATGAGGCGTTTGTAATTCAATGCTTCGTGATGAGAAGATGGAGATCGACCGGATTTCTGGGGTAGCGGGAATCCCCTTATATACGCGAATCCAAGCAGGCAGGCGAACCTCGTTTCCCACTTGCTTCATACGATCAGCGTCAGCCACACCAGGCGAACCAGGCGGACCAGCACCAACACCCACCCGCACCAGATCTAAGCCATGATCAGGCTGTCGCCGAACTACCTCACAACGAATATGCATGCACATTGGTAGAGATGGAATTTACACATGCCCTGTACAAATCACATTTCCACTTCCCTCATCGACATCTATTCTTCTTACCTCGACCATTCAAGAAAAGAAAGCCTAGAGCCGATGTCTCGAGACGAAAGAGACAGGCTGAGAACCAGTATCACCAAAGACCACCTTAGGTAGCTACTGCATTTCCCAATTCCAGCCAGCCAACACGGCAAGACACATCCAGGCGCTTCGAGATACAAAAGTCGGGTTATAACAAGGCAGCTTGCAGGCAGGCAGACAGGAGAGAAGCCTACAGCCTGCCGTGGTGTTGCAGCTGGGCTTGCAGCCTGCAGAGCCGCCCGCCCCCAAAGATGTAACTGCGCCTCGACGGGCCGCCTTACACTTACCTTTCACAAGAAAGACAGGAATGCGTTGTAAGCCTCACTTTGGCCGGGCGCAGCGGGCGGGAAGACGCAGTGTGCTGATCCTCGCTCAGCTTGCATGTGGCATGCATCTCTGGAAACCCCAATAGGGGTTGTGCTTAGGGTGTGACCTTGTGAATGGTACCCTCGAATGAATTATCCCAAGGCACCTTGTGTCTCGAGGGTTGAGCCGCTGCTTTACGCCCACATACCTTATGCCATCGGGAGCGGCTGGCAGTTAATCCGATTGATACGGCCCGTCATACTGCACCGTATCGAGCAATCCCGCAACACTGTACAACAAGTAACCCCTGCTCTCACCCAAATCGCAGCTTACAACAACCACTCCGCATACACCGGCCATGCCACGGCCTGCCTTACGACGACGACGATGATGGTTGCTCTCTCAGCCTTGCCGCCGGCCCAATGGTGCCAGATATTCTTCGGGCTTTCAACAGCAGTAGTTTTGGCCATCCAGGTAGTCCCAAAGACAACTCAGCGCCTTCTGCTTGACTACGGTGCCCGCTCGCCGGCTAATGCCACCGACACCGACGACCGGACGAAGGGTGTCACTGTTCCCAATGGATTGGACTTCTTCACCCAAGCCGCCAAAGCCGTGACGTCCTTTGGACAAATCCCACACGCGTGGTTCATGCACTTCTACGTCGCGTCCGTTGCAGGTTCGGCTTTCTGGGCATGGCAGTATATTCAAAGCGGCTCAGCCATGGCCGTCATCTCAGCTCAGCAGGCGGCTTCGGGCGGCCCGTTTGTGAGCTTCGAGCAGACAGTTCTCGTCTGGACATTGATGGCGCTGCAAGGCACGAGGAGATTGTACGAGTGTCTCTTCGTGATGAGGCCGGGGTCTTCTAAAATGTGGTTCGTGCATTGGCTGCTCGGGTTGGGTTTCTATCTCTGCATGAGTGTATCCGTCTGGGTTGACGGCTCAGGTGAGCACAGTCAATTTCCACTTTAAGATACACACTCACCTTTCCCAGCGGCCTTGAGGCAAGAAGCAAGACCGAATTTGGAGAGCCTTTTGTCGACTGGAGTCGTCGCTGGGACCGTCGCGTACCTCTACGGATGGTCTAACCAGCATAAATGCCACAAACACCTGGCCAGCCTCAAGAAGTATTCATTGCCAGAGCAGGGTCTTTTTCGGTATCTCATCTGCCCTCATTACACTTGCGAATGCCTGATCTATTTGGGCCTTGCCATGATAGCCGCGCCAAAGGGTTACGTCGTCAACCGCACCCTCATGGGTGCTTTGTGGTTCATTGTCGCCAATTTGGGCACAACGGCAGATGGTACCAAGCAGTGGTACGCGCAGAAGTTTGGTGCTGAAAAGGTCGCCAGCAAATGGAGGATGATACCCTTTGTCTTCTAGACACACTTGCGCCTCGAATGTCACTTCTTTCCAAACAAGCCAAACTTGGCTCCGAGTTTCGACACCTGCATGACGTCCCGATATGTCAGACTCGTCCTGGTCGCACGCGCGCTTCGGCCGGCAGAAAAGTCATTTTGCGACCGCAAAAGGTCCCAATTCACGATCGTCTCGGCAGACAGCTCGACGTCCTCTTCGATATCGGCAATGCCGTGGAGGTAATCGGTGTAGAGGTCGTCGGTAGTGATGAGAAGACTCCTGGGCTCCTGAAGAATGCATCCCACAGGCTCTGGTTCCATGACTCCATCTTCCTTGGTTTGGTATAGGTTCAGACATAGACTTGCTCCAAGACTGATAGTACACACAACTGGATGATAGGCAGCCCCGTCCTATAGCCAGCATGAGATTCAAAGCTCTTCACGTGAACACCTACCATGTACTCAACTTATGCGGCATGATTCCGACTCCAGGAGGATACTCGTTTATCAGCACGTGGTTCGGTCGTTTGTGAGGACTGCCAGCGAAGAGATTGGACGAATCAGGATCGGCGGCAAGAGGTAAGGAAAGAATTCGCGAGATCACAGGCTCTTGCAACCACTGTGGCAAGGGAGCATCGATCAGCTTGTTGTTGACAAGATCGGACGGCCATGTTTGGAGACGTCGATGAGTCAGTTGCTTCCAACGGGGTTTCGGCGCCTCAGCTATCTGTTGGTTGCAAGGGCAAGTCAGTCACAGTTTTTTTTTTGGCTTGACAGACGTCGTCGAAATAAGTTTTCCGTACCTTTTGTAGAATCAAGCGTTCCTCCTCCTCTGATATGAAATCTGCAATGTAGTAAGAGGATGGCGGAAGCTTCTTGACTCTGACGTCGTCGAGGGAGGCAGGTAAGTTCACGGCTCCCAAAGGCATATTGCTGGCTTCGCCTCGCAGCTGTGTTGTCGCAGACGTTTGATAGTTGGGACACGGGTGGTGTGATCTGGGGCTGCGCCCAACTTTATGGATGGGGATCCCAAACGAAGTGACGTGATGTTGGATGAAGAGGTCGGGAACCTAGATACGTCGAAGCTTGTTGCAAGTCGGCGCGAGGTGCGCAAATGTCGTCGACGTAAGATCCAAGCTCCGGCTGCAAAGCGGCATAAGAAGCCAAGGGTCAAACGGTTCTGCGTCCAGCTGGGAGGATCCAGGCAACGATGGGACCGACGAGGATGGCAAGGTTGGGTGGAGAAGCAAGGACGGGAGCTGCTGGATCATGGATGGATGGAAGCGACGGGCAAGAAGATGTCCAACTCCAGTCTCCAACCTAAGGCTTGAGCGCGCCTGCTTGAGCTTGTCAGACACGCCAAACCTGAGGTCGCCAGTTGCCTCAAGCAGTCAAGGATGGGAGGTCTTGCACTAATAACAAGAGAAGGCGAGAACGGACGCCTGCTTAGAACACGCTAGGTCTAATCGGGAAACGGCAGGTCGATTAGTCACAGACAGCGTGTGACTGACGGTAAGGTGTCCGTTCCCAGTGGCAGTGGTGCTATCCGCCACAGAAAGTGATTGGCTGCTCTGGTCCCGCTTCATGAGCTCTCCGTTTTCAATGTCGCTCATGATTCGCCGTTAGAATTCAAGATGCGACGGCCGGGGAGGGGGAAGAGGAGCCTGCTGCGACTCTGGAGGGGGCTGGGATTGGCCGAGGTGGGGTCCTGGGAATTTGAAGGCTTCGATACGTACCTTTCGAGTCGCACCAAGAACACGCACCGGGCAGATTCGAGGTTTCCCACCAGCAGGAGAAAGACGAGTTTTTGGACTAGCAAACCACAAAAAAAAACCTTGGATGGACGGACTACTCGTTTTGCATTGGAACCAGAGGAGATTTCCGCAGGTTGGTGTGTCCAGGGTCAGGTGGCCCAACGACAACGTGCAGCCAGTGATGCAGCTTGCGAGGAGAAAGACGACGGCGTTGCTATCTCAATCTCACCCTATCTTTCTGAAGCAAGGTGGGTGCCGGGGCTAACGTCCAGGTTGAATCCTAGGCCGTTTAGTCTGCCACCCAAGGAGGCAGCGTGCTTGTCGTCGAGGATGGGTACTTGTAGATGCTGCAAAATTTTGCCAGAGTTCCAAGTACCGCTTGTCGAATTCGACCCGAGTACGTACCTAGTGCCGACTGCTGGCTGATGTGGCCACCTCAGTCGTCAGGCTGCCACTGCCAGTGCCGCTACCACCAGGTGCACACCTCTCACTTTCCATAGCCTGCTGCTTGCCTCAGGGCTGCGTGCTGTGTGCTGAGTGCTGCGTGCCTGCTTGCCTGATGCCCGGCTGCTGCTACTGCTTTCTCTGTCTCCCGTCTCCTTTGCTGGTTGTGGCTGTTCCGTGTCCCGTATTCTCGAGCAAGTCCCCTCCCCCCTGGTCGGGCCCAATCAAAGAGGTGGCGATCAGACTTTTTGACTCTGAAGACTCGCTCGCGGCCCCATTTCCACCTTTCAGCCAAATCGAAGCATCAAGCGTCACCAACAGTCCCTTTTCCCGCATTCTCTACCAACGCCCGCCTCCATCCATCTTGCACGCATTATTCTGTCCCGGCCAGGCGCTTTCTTAGTCGTTTTTCTGTTCCTTTCATCCTCGACGTGATCCGATATCCAATACGCAACATTTTCCTCTCCGTCCGACACCACCCACGCCCAACGCCTTTCGCGCGCGCACCCCCCGTGACTGACCTGGCCACTTTCTCTTAGGGGGGTCACCTCGAGCGACTGAGAAATAGTCTACCGGCCGCCTTCAATTCAGTCCCGTCTCTCTAACCCTCTTTTTCGCGGCCGACCTTTGGCCAGGATGGTGCTGGCCAGTTTTTCGACCTCTAGATAAATGATATGGATGCGCAGAATGCTGCCGGGTCCGACAAGTCGAAGCCCGTCGCTGCGGCGGAGAAGCGACCGGGCAATCACCAACCTGACGAGTCTCACGAGTTCAACAGCAAACCGACCAAGAACGTGGACGATTCCATCAAATCCCCGCCTCATCTACCCAAAGACGTCAAGCCTAGCGTAATCGTATCTCGCGCCCCTCCCGTAGCCGACGACGCTCCTGTCGACCGAGATTCTGATGCTGAGACCATCGTACTGCCTGGTAAGGATGGCCACTCACCCTCCAAGGCGAGGAAGGTAAAGCACGAGGACCGCAGCGATGGAGAGCCCCCGGTTCTCCCAGTTCCCCTGGTCCCCCGGAAAAATCGTGATGCCAGTGCTAGCAGAGACGGCGACAAGGAAAAGACGGCCAACCCTGTCCGTCTGTCCGAAACGGCTTCCTCTCTCGGCTTGAAGAAGAAGCGCCTTCACGATCAATCGGCCAGGAGTAAAGATGGTTCCAGCGGCCTCAGCTCGGCTCCTGCATCCCCTCCCCACCACAGGCGTCGATCTGGTGGGCACTCCGATTCCGATACGGGCGCTGACCGTAGGAAATCCCCCAAGCTGTCCCTGAAAGACCGGGCAAAGTCCATCGACAGAATTCCCCACAAACGCAAAGCTTCCAGGGCAGACTCGGATGATGAGGCGGAAAATCGAAAGGTCCGACGGCAACGAATCTCGGATCACAACACCATAGAAGCTCGCGCTCGCCTACCCAAGGAACCAAAGTCTTCGTCTTCGTCTAGGAGAGAACACGACGGCCACTCAGGATCACGCACCAGATCCGTCTCCCCACACCACCCACGTGCCCACAGGCGGAGCGTCTCGACCCAACTTCCCGCAAACTCGTCTAATGGCCTGAGCTACAAGAAGAAACGTCTGCCTCCTCCGCTGCAATCTACAGACTATCACTCGGATGAATCCTCTGCCAGTGGTAGCCCTCATCCTCGGAGCTCCAAGCTGCGGAACCTCTCCACCCCCGCTACCGCCGAGTCAAATATGTCGCCGGCCAAGATTGCACCACACAAGAAACACCTCGACGCCCACGGCCAAACCTTCCTCGCTAGGGCATGCGCCCGAGGCGAGTACGACCTGGCCAAGCAAAGACTAGGAGAGCGACCCGAGGATCTCAACGTGGCCGACTATGCTGGCAACACGCCACTTCAGATTGCTGCGATTAACGGATACGAGGACATCGTCAAGCTTCTCATCGACGCGGGCTGCAACTTGGATTGTGTCAATTATGACAAAGACACACCATTGTTAGACGCTGTTGACAACGGTCACTTGGGAGTGGTCAAGCTATTGCTGAATGCGGGAGTGAACCCAAGGAAAGCCAACCTAAGCGGAGAGGAACCCTTGGATCGTGTCAGCGACGACTTGGAGAATGCAGACGACTTCAGAGCCGCATTAACCGAAGCCAAGTCACGGCAAGGAGAACGCAGACGTACATCTGAAGACCACCATCCTACCGACCAGTTCGATAGTAGGTCATCTCATGGCCCAGACAGCCCTCGCCGGTCACCTGCACCATCTGCGTCCAACGCCAGCGGTCGGCGAGCCGGCACCGTCAGGGCAAACAAGACAAGCAATCATCTCTTGTACATGTCACTTGACGACAAAACGTTACGACAAGCTGCAGGAAAGGGTGACGAGGAGACTGTAACGCGCATTTTGCAGGTCAAGGACGGCTGCGATGACTCAGAAGCCATGGTTGCCGCTGCTCGTGGTGGGCACGAAGTAGTGATCCAACTGCTCCTGGCTCTTGGTGGAGCGAACCCAGATCCTGCACCTGTCTCGAGCATGCCACCCGAATTTGCCACCCCTATGCTGGCGGCAATCGGCCAGGAAAATATCAAGGTCGTCAGACTACTCTTGGACCAGGGTAATTTTGATCCGACTCGCCGATTTAAAGGCGAGACCTACCATGAAATCGCCCGCCGTCGACAGGGAACGAATTGGAAAGACGAGGAGCACATGCTCAAGGAGTCTTACGATGCCTATAGAAAGTCACACCGCGACATTTCAAAGACGAAATCTCCTGGCAGACGCGAGCGAGAAAAGGAACGCGAAAGGGAACGCGATAGAGAACAGGACCGTGAAACAAAGCGCCAAGGTCGAAATGAGCTCAAAGACGAAGCACGTGCACACAAGCGCAACCTTTCGAGCCCATCCCGTGACCCGGAGAAAAGAAAGAAACTTTCTTCTGGACGATCCATCACAAGCCCAAAGGAGAAACGTAGGGCGGACTCATTTCACGAAGATCAAATCTCACCGAAGCGTGGTCCTGGCAGGCCGCGGAAGGAAGAACGAGTACCTACGATTGCTGTTTCAGACCGGGAGGCTTCACCCGCACTTTCGCAGAAGCAGGCTGCTAAAGCAGCGAAACGAGCCGAGTCTGACGTGGCCGCAATGTCCTCTGAAGGAGAGGCAGCTAAGCCGCGCCGTAAACTCGTATCCAAGGGGGAGCTTCGAGGCGAGAGAGAGAAGAACCGACGAGCGAGCATGGTGTCCACCACATCATCATTGAAAGATCCTTCGAGTCCGCGCGACCCAAAACTTGATGATCATCCCGAAAAGCCCAAGGGCGAGCCACTGTCAGAGAAGTACCACGATCGCACGAAAGCTCTCAAGAGGGACGAGTCTAGGGATCGGCTATCAGTGTCTGGCGACAATTCGTCCAAACGACACCGCTCTAGTGTAACGCCACCACACTCGAGCACGGGAGACAAGGATGATGGCGAGGCGCCCGTGAAGCGTAGGCGGCTTGATGTTGAAGGCAAGGAGCGACGACCTAAATCGACCGCCTCACCCGATGATCCTCACAGGACACCTCGTGATGGCCCGCCTCGATCAAAGTCCAGCTTGAGAGACCACGACGACAGCGATCGGAGACCGACCAAGGCTAAGGCAGATGCCGATGGCTACAGACGAGAATCCGGGAAATCGAGCAACAGTGACAAGTCTAGTATCCACGTTAAATCTGAGGATTTTGACATCGAGATGCCAGATGCGTCGGATGTAAAGGACACAGTGGAAGCAGAACCACGCATCAAGAAAGAGCGCGACGATGAGAAGCGACGTCTCGAAGAGAAGGAGAGGCGGAGAGAAGAGAAGCGTCAAGAAGAACGAAAGCGCCGCGAAGCCGAGGCCGAAGAAACCCGCAGAAAGGAGGAAACTCGTCAACGCGAACGCGAGGCCGAAGAGAAGAAGCGAGAGGCCGAGCAGAAGAAACGTGAAGCTGAGCAGAAACAGCGGGAGCGCGAGGCTGAGGAGAAACGCTTGAAGGAAGAGGAAGTAACCAGACAGCGTGAGGAGCAGGAACGTAAGCGCAAGGCCGAGCTCGAAAAGAAACGCCAGGAGGAAGAAGAACGGCAGCGGCGCGAGGCCGAAGAGAAGAAGCAACGCGAGCGTGAAGAAGAAGAACGAAGGCTCCGCGAGGAAGAGGAGAAGAAGCGACGTGAGGAGGAAGAAACGAAGAGGAGGGAGGAGGAAGCTCGCAAGCAGCGAGAGGAAAAGGAAAGACTCCGCAAGGAACGCATCGAGCGAGAAGCTGCCGAGGAAGCCAAGCGAGTCCGCGAAGAGGAGGAACGACAAGAGCGTGAGCGCAAGGAGCGACTCGAACGCGAGGAGATGGAGCGCAAGCGAGCTGCTAAAGAGGCCGAGCAGCGCCGTATCCTCGAGGAGCAAGAACGCTTGCGCCTGGCGAAGTTGCCTCCTCTATTGCGCTGGCTAGACGCTTGCCCGAACCCCAAGACCTCGGAATACGCCACCAAGTTCAAGCATATGCAAGGCGTGCGGTTCGACACCATTCACCCACAAGCAAATGGCACGGTAAATGGCAGAGAACAGTGGGTGCTGAACACCCATGTTGCGCTACTCCTCGGGGAGAAGGACCTCTCCTTGTCAAGATGTAAGTGCTCGTATGATCTATCCACGTTGCTCATCACTAACGGAAAATCAGACACGACTTGGGAACATATTCCCGTGTCTGACCTTGCTAAAAAGGTCATCTGGAGACTCGAGTCGGATTGGTACGCCTTGCTTAAGGAGAACTTCTACGAGCTCGGGACTGGCCTTCCTGATTATTACGGAGAAGGCGAGGATCCCTTCAAGATGAGCTTTCGCTTGAAGGAAAAGCTCCGTGGCGAGGCTCGTGAGAAGTTCTTGAAGATGGACATGTTCTTTGTCAAGGTACGTTTGAAGTTTATCCGGTGATATTGATGGATGGCTGGGTTGACTCAGAATATAGGTGTCAGATTTGATGTCGATTGCTCAGGACGTTCCGCATCTTCGGGGCCTCAAGATGAGCGTCGAGTATCGCGAACTCCCAGACAATGAAGGCCAACTTTACGGATGGCAAGTCCCGCAGAAATGGAAACAGGACCCCGACGCTGATCGATTCTTTGGATTCGCGCCGAGGAACAAATATTACATCAACGGTGTCATGGTCGAGGAGCAGATGCCTGGACTGTCTGCCACAAGCAGCACACCCTTTCCCGAGAAGCGGGTCCCCCGAAAGGGACTGCAGCAGGTTTTCCCTGGCGACCCCGACTATGCCCGCGTATGCAAAGAACAAGGGCTTGATTTCCTTCTGAATGGCACAAAAATGCCGTCGATGCCCAACGGCGGACATTTGTCGCCACGGAGCCAGTCGAATGCCACAGAAGCAATGGCCGAGACCGTCAATGATACCCAGCCGGCAGCTTCCGCTACTGCGCCAGTGTTGACCGAGCCGAGACTTGTTCCTAATGGCGTTAACGGCGTATCGGCCGCAAGCACCAACTGAGTTGAGTTGGATCACAAGTAGATCGAACGAACCAATATTTAATATACACATGTACACAATGCTACAGCAATCCCCGGGTCGTTACGCACTGAGTGCCGACGGAACGTACCAAGGGACCGCTGTGCACCATCGAAGATAGACCCAGCTGCCTATCTGCTCTTCCACTTGCCTTGCGATCCTTACGTTAGGGGGAATTGCTCGTCTTCAACATAGGTCTGATGGATGCTAAAGGTGTGTTGCTCACGCCACTTTGTGGTCGGCAACACAGTTGCATCGATTCTTAGGCCCTGGTGGGCGACAAGACACTATATCGACAGATGAAACTTTTATCAAGTCGAAATTCAATGAGCACCAGAGTCAGCTCTTGTGTGTGTTTAGGTGATGAACAACGGATTGGATGGCCACAATTAGGTCTGGAGGAGAGCCGAGAATCAAGAGCTTGGGAGCCTGGGAGGCATTACTAGTTGGGATGGAACACAGGGATAGGGAAGGTAGATAACGAAAATAACATTTTCAAAATGCTGTCTGTCCAGATCATCGCTTCGTGCTTTTTCCGTGTTCTAAAGAACTGTTGCACATCATCAATCACGAAACTCTAGTGTTGGCTTTCCTTACCTAAGATGTTGAAGACTTTTGATTGAATGATTCAGGTTTCTGACATCACTGCGTTCAAAAACCCGTGCAGCCAATGAGGACGGAGCATTCCCACCAAGCCCCGGTGAAATTTCATGTGCAGTACCTTAGCCTTTTCGCACAAGGTGCCAGTGTCCCCGCCATTTTGCACCCCAAAACCCACCACCGGGTGCACAACCGGAATCACCAACTGCCAGAACCATCAACCCAAACTTGGGCAGCGAGACAGAAGTTGGACGACGACGAACGTTACTTATTTGATACCCCCGCAAATTCTGCGAGCCACGGCAAATTTTCGCTTCGCTTTGCCTTCTGCCCGCGCCTTGGACATCAAACGTCGCAATCGGAAAAGCTAGCCATCCATAAATTGAACCCCTCCATACAGCGCAGGAACGTCTCGAGTGACGAAAAACCGCAATCATGGCGACCACAGTTGACAAGGTAATGTTTCTCGCGGAGGCCTTCACAGGCGACAAGACTGAATCTCCCATCCTACCCACCTTATAGGCTATTCGCGAGGACACCACCTTGACTAACACCTTTGTTCATGCAGATCAAAGATATTGAGGCCGAAGTACGTGTCCAACCCCTCCTCCCCCTCCGCCTTCAAACCGAGGGCAACCCTCGTCCCGCTCCCTTTGCCGTCGTCGACGATGTCGAGAAACCTCGAAGGCTGTCTCTGTCTATGACCTGAATGAGGAAGCATGCGTTCGTGACGTTGTCGGCAGACAGACAATCACCTACAAGAAACCCAAATCTTCGACCCGACGACATCAGGAAAAGCCCTCCCTCCACCCTCTACACAGAAAAACCACATAAGAATGCGACGCGCAAATCAGCAAGCTGACGGAATGCTCTCTCCTCCCTCACATAGATGGCCAAGACCCAAAAGAACAAGGCTACGTCCTTCCATTTGGGTCAACTGAAAGCCAAGCTCGCCAAGCTCAAGCGTGAGCTCCTGACGCCCTCGGGCGGTGGCGGCGGCGGCGGTGCCGGCTTCGATGTTGCGCGTACGGGTGTAGCGAGTATCGGCTTCATCGGCTTCCCGTCCGTGGGAAAGAGTACCCTGATGAGCAAGTTGACGGGTCAGCACTCCGAGGCCGCGGCGTACGAGTTCACGACGTTGACGTCCGTTCCGGGTCAGGTCACTTACAATGGTACGTTTTGACCGATATTTGGTGTTCCGGGATAGGAAGGTGGCAAGAGAAGAGGAATGAGGACTTGAAAAGTTGAAAACGCTGACATTATGTTTCGTTGCCTAGGTGCGCCGCTGCAAATCATTGATTTGCCGGGTATCATTGAAGGAGCTAAGGACGGCCGCGGTCGTGGTCGCCAGGTCATCGCCGTCGCAAAGACGTGCCATCTCATCTTCATCGTCCTCGACGTCAACAAGCCTCTGACGGACAAGCGCGTCATCGAGACGGAACTCGAAGGCTTTGGCATCCGCATCAACAAGTCGCCGCCAAACATCACCTTCAAGAAGAAGGAAAAGGGCGGCCTCAACATCACGAGCACCGTGCCCCTCACCCACATTGACCACGACGAGATCAAGGCTGTCATGAATGAGTACCGCATCAACTCGGCTGACATTGCCATCCGCTGCGACGCCACCGTCGACGACCTCATTGACGTCCTCGAGGCGAGGAGCAGAAACTACATCCCCGTCATCTACGTCCTGAACAAGATTGACGCCATCAGTATCGAGGAGCTCGACTTGCTCTACCGTATCCCCAACGCCGTGCCGATCAGTTCGGAGCAGGGCTGGAACATTGATGAGCTGATGGAGGCAATGTAAGGAGTTTCTAACTTTGTTCCCCCCTTGTCTTCATTTCCTCATTAGCCGTCGGACCCTCGGCCGGTTCTCGTCTCCCGGAGCGACACGATCGTCGTCCACGACAAGGATCAACCCGCTACCCCTAAAATTGCCCTCACAAGACCAGAGAAGCTAACGTTTTTGATTTCTTTTCCTTGGCGTATAGGTGGGATAAGCTCAAGCTGGTTCGCGTTTATACGAAGCCAAAGGGCAAACTGCCAGATTACTCTCAGCCCGTTGTGCTCCGTTCAAACAGGTGCACGGTCGAAGATTTCGTGAGTAGCCGGTCCTCCGCGTGACATTGCGTCTCGTCCCGAGCGAACCCGTGTCGTAGGGTGAACCTTGTTTTCTCTTCTCTGCGACAAAGGGGCGCGGCGATAGTGGACGGACGGAGCGCATGTTGCTGCGGTTTTCTCTTGCTCGCTGTGTTTAGCTAACCGGTTCGTGTTTCCGTCTAGTGTAACCAAATTCACAGGAGTATTCTCGAACAGTTCAAGACCGCCATTGTGTACGGCAAGTCCGTAAAGCATCAGCCTCAGCGCGTCGGTCTATCTCACGAGCTAGCCGACGAGGATATCGGTACGTTTTCATCTTGTGTCGAGGAACCCCCCCACAATCCTGAATTTCCCTGGTCGTCGTCGTCATCATCATCATCTCAAAACCTTCGTTTGCCGCCGAGCTACTTTGAAAGAGCTGGCGGGAAAGTGATCATGCCTCAGTCAAGTGAAGTTCGGTTAAGGGAAAGCAAACAATGGCACTAACATATTCAAACTACTCGCAGTCACAATCGTCAAGCGCTGACGAACGCGGCGACGAGCTAAAACTCGGCGGCGCATGGCGGCCGTTTGTCGTCATGCTCTCCCCCCGCCGCCTCAAAATGCCTTGCCTGGCCCAAGGAGAAACAAGCCCAGCCCAGCCCAGACCCAGACCTCAGCCCGCCTTCGGGGTCTCCTCGTCCGCAAACCCCCATTTTGGCGAGGGAACACAAAATTCAAGCCACTTGCCTCTTTCCTCCGCCATCTTCTCCTCTACGCCCCCTTCCTTCAAGTCATCTGCCGCGATCTCACTCGAGTCCCGATTCCATGGCATCGTGTGCAAACTCAAAAAAGAAAGAAGCACGCTACCCTACCTCCTTTCAAAAGTGAACATTGAAACCAAAGGAAACCGACCGATCCAACTGCATCTTACGCGCGTAAGCTCTAAGCCAAGGCCGGGAAACACAATGGTACCGTTTGGTTGCGACTCTCTCTCCTTTTTTCCCCCACGGAACAAGGCTGAGCTGAGAGAGTGAAAGAGTGTGTGGGGTTTTTGCTGTCTTGGTACGCTACTTTTCCTTACCGAGCATGGGATGTGGGAATGTGTATTGGCCGCAAGCAGACATTTTCGTGGCGGGTGGGGGAAAAGGCGAGGTTAGGTCCCCCTTTGATGGACGGCGTCAAGGTATATTCCCTGCTGTCTATCTTGTTTTCTTGCCGCCGAGATTTCGATGGGAGATGGGGGGGATGGATGGGGGAAAGGTGTTGACGGGGGATCAAGGGCAATGTTGGTTTCTGCAGTCCAGGCAAGCGTTTACATGGTATCATCATGCTACTTTTGCATTATAGAGGAGAGAAAGAGAGGGGGGAGAAAAGGGGGGGATGGAGTTCAGGCTTGTAACGAAAAAGTGATTTGTTCTCAATCAAAACGGCTTCTGGCAGCAGAGAGAAAACCGATTTTCGTCTCCATCTTTGGTGCGCCCAACTCGTTTCCCCCCATCTGGGATTATCCGTCGATTACCTCAGGAAAGAAACGTTGCGTCCATTGTATGCGATCATTGTGATGAATCTGGGTTGGATTGGGAATGGATGGACCGGTCCAGTTCCCGTTAGGGTCCAGACTCCACGGTATACGGTAGTGAAGCCAAAGCCCACGCTACCTTGCCTTGAATGCCCATCCCATCCATAATAGTTCAAGTATCCGTGGTTCCCTCCTCGCCACGAAGCCGTCGGGCACTAAAAGCTGGCTGCCGGGCGGCGCGTGCCTGACAGGACAAGCCCGCCGTGCCGCCCAAAAAAAAAAGAAGGGCTTTCTCTCTCTCGCCGGTCTACAATCCGTGTGGATACGGAGGAGCGTGGCTTCTAGCTTCTTTTTTGTTAGCCAGCCGTGCCAGCCTCGCGCGTGCGCGCGCATACGTAGCACCACCATCGTCTTGTGTCGTCCGCTTTCGCGTGGTTGTCTCCAAAACGTCGGCGTCGAAGGGGGCGAAAAACGAGATTTTGGATGGAGTACGGATATGGATAGACTGTCGTTGGAAAGCTGCCCCCATCTCCGCCCCGTCCCTACCCCACACGCGCCACCATCTGAAGTTCACGCAGCAGCAGCAACAACCCAAGGGGAAAAAAACAGTCACGAAGCCCAAATCGTGGGCGAACCTGCATAGCCGAGGGCCTCTTGTCCTGCGGCCGCAGATGCCTCCCAAGAGAAGCGTGGGTTGCATATTCTTCTTTCTGTAAGAAGGCTCAACACATGTGCCCGTACTGGGCGTGTATCCCCTTGGCCAGCTTACACTACTTTGCTCCGCGTGCGAATGGGAAAAGAAGAGGTGGTAGAAAAGAGATAGAGGGAGAGGAACTAGAGGAATAGGTACCGTGGACAAGACCATGCAGCTTCCGCGCGCGCGCACACACACACACACACATATCCGTAGACACACACTCTCTTCTTCTTCTTCTTCTGCCTCACTCCTCCTACAGTACATGGGGTAACAGGCCGAGGAGGGGTGGGGGATGGCGGGCGGGTGTGTGTGGGTGAGCCAGACGGGGGACTCCCTGGATCAAGGGCAACGTCGGCGCTTAAAGCAGAGCTAAGACGACGCCCTTCTCTGCTCTCTGCGATGTTACTCTTCATAACTCCGCCTTTTCCTCTACTCTCATCCCGCTGGTGCTGACGCTTGTCTCGAGACGGACTCGGCACTACTGGCGCGATGCACTTCACTGCAATTCCCCGACGAGAAACGTGCCCGGCGGAATCGCAGCAGCCACGGACCTGGTTTTCCTCAGTAGAACGAAAATAAAAGAGGGGGGATGGAGGGCTTCACCACCAGTCAGATGCGAATCCTCCTCTTCCGCCTGCCTTTCACAAGGCTTGCTTTACCGCCCATGTCTCGTGGTCTCTTTTATCTCCCCTTCCTCTCCCAAGTCCCAGTTTTTGTTTGCTACTGCTGGGCGGGACGTGCTGGTTAGTGGTGGGTCGGTCGCGGCCCTCGCAGCGAGCCGTGATCTCATCTCATCTTATCCTCGGAGGATGATGGGAGGAGCTTGGACGAGGGGTTCCGGGTCCGAGTCCGCGATATGCGAAGCAAGGAAAGGTCGATTGCGGAGTATGGTAGCAGTCGACATCCATCCAGCGATCTTGGCCCTTTCGTCTCGACTTCGACTCGAGATTGCTCGCGGGCAGATGAGTGTATCCGTACCTTGCATCAAATACAGATGAGGCGAACGGCGGGCGATAGGACACAGACCACGGGAGAACGGCTGCAGGGAAGGGTAAATAGGCGCAGGGGCAACACAGACGGCGGCGGCGGATGCTGCGCTGCAATGTTGCTCGTGCTGCCCAGGTCCCCTGCTCCCTCCAAGACGACATGAGTCGACCAGCCCAGTCAGTTCCAGCGGGTTTGGGGGGAGGGCTCGGGAACAAGCAAGCTGTGCCCCACCCGAGCACTGACGCAGCTCTCATCTCCTAGACTCCTCCAAGAGTGCTGCTCAAAAGAGCAGAGTTGGTAAAAACGTCCCGCGTGTGCAGGCGTAGGTCGCACTTCCAGGAAGACCAAATGCAGCCTTGGTCGGAGGTAGTCTGCCAAAGGACCAGTCGCTGAAGCAGGCGTCGAGGAGGGCAATGGCCGACTGGCATACTGCCCATCATGTTCGCCGAGACATGTTGACGTGGATGCGGTCATCCGCTGGGTCAAACGACGAAAGTCCTCGTGTCTGGCTGAATTGCCAAAGCCTAAGCTCCTCATGGCTTGAAACAATGGCTTGGTTGTGAATTCCTGCTACTTTGACCGGGTAGGGCAGCTAAACGTGATTAGCCACGGCTGACAGCCACTGACGAGGCGAGCACCAGAGCCTGAGATTTCCCCTCGTATCCGAAAGCTTCTGAAATAAAGTTGGCGGGCAGACTGCTCTCATCGTCGTACTAGCATGGCTTCAATAGTGATATCGTCAGCCTGGCTAAGACGCGTCAGTGATGAACTCATGGAAAACCCTTACCCTACCTAGCGGCGGGAAGACGCCAAGGGAACGATGGAGTAGATGGGTCTCCGAATCAGCCTTCTTTCCTGTTTAGTCTTTTCCCCGGCCCGCCCATCATCATTATGCATGTTGATTGCCCAACGTTGTCGTAAAATGAGAGGCCCTTTTCATGACTGATGCGAAGCTACTGTTAGAGCGATCAGATACTGCTTCGGGTGAGGGTTGAGTCGGGGGTGCTGTGGTATCAATTCAGCCTGGCCTAGGATACCGTCGGCAGGGCCCGCTTCATATTGAGAACGGCACACGTTGCGGGCCAACGCGGGTGGATGCTGGTCAACGACCCTGGATGGAAACCTGGATTATGCCCCAATCATCGTTGTACCCTCCAGCCATGCTCTCCTCTCCGTTGAAGTATTCACTTTTGTGCGCCATTGCGTCGAGGCTTGGCCAGACCATCACTTAACGAAGCCTTTCGTGGATGGACCCACGGTTTCGCAAGTCTCTGTATCCGTACGTGACCATCTGACCAACTGGGAATCGGTCCGGGTCTCTCAATGGCCTCGCTAGGACCGCCTCATGCGAAAGAAGTCTTTTCCATCCAATGACCAATGCGAAACTGGTGATGAACCCGGAATTTATGTCCAATGGGAACGCCGAAAACGATTTGAGCGCTGCTGTTGGTCAGCAATCCTCCTTCGACTCTTGGTTCCCTAGACCGATATGGCGCTTGCGCTTGTCTTCTGACTGCCATATCAAGTCTTGTGACGACTACAAAGGTGACCATGGAGCTGGAGCTATCCAAAGAGCAATGGAGTTCAATGCCTCGCAAAAGTGGACCGGATATTGGCGAATGTACCCTGTTCTTGACCCATTGGGTGTAAAATGAGTGTAAAGGTCTGGCCCATGATGAGCTAGCCAGATCTACCAAAACTGTATCGACTTGAATCTCCAACCGCATGACCGCGGCAGGCTCAGCTGGATGGGAGATGGCTCAGATGGGCCACAAGATGGACGGCATGGACCGATAATCTAACCGAGTACAACAAACCATGATTAATAAGAGAGAGCATTGCATTCAGTGTTGGAAGAAGGGGAGGCGCCCATCGCGATCGTCTGGCCGTCCAACGAGGGGCGTTGGTTGTTGAACGACGCTCCACGATGAGTGTGACGGTGGTGGATGCCAATTCCATGAATGTTGAATTGCGTCGCGAGGAGTCCTTGTACTTTTTACGGAAAGCTGTCGGGAACGGCTTTGGCGATGTCGTGGCGGGTGCGTCAGAGTGGTTCGGGTAGTTCTTAGTTCAACATCGGGCAGCAGCAAGGCTTGACAGACTGCCATTGACGTCGCATATCAAACTTGAAATTAGAGATCAAAGCGTTCGGCAGACCTTGGCTTGTTTGACGTTGGAATTCTGGTGGGATTTGAGTGCTCGCAGATAGGTTTTGGCGGGAAGTGGTTTGAAGGAATCGGACCAGACTGAAGAGGTCCCTGTGGTAGAATGCATTGATCGCCATAAACTGCCGCAGACATTTATGCTGGCAACGCCCGGTTGACTTGATTTGAACAGACCG